TCAGAAAATGCAATTAACATTACACAATTAGCGGTTACCAACTTCTTGTTAACTTTAAGTTCTCCTGCCGTTAGATCTTAGTGTATGTGTTGGTGAGAGGCAATATGCGTAAATTTCTGACGAATTTTGATGATATTACAGGTTTGTGTTGGGAAGCATAGATGTTCGGTTCTCATGTCGACAACAAAACTAGGAGATCCATGTCCTGGTGTGCTGAAAAGCTTGGCAATTGAAGCTCTTTGCAGTGGTTGAAATAAGTTCTTCCTGGGCTGAAGGATCACGTTACAGATTCTAATTATTGTGGCTAGTAGGGAAACACATGAAATAATGTTTGACTAGCTTAAAAATTTGCTATAAATGGTTTTAATCAAGTTGGAACAAGCAGATGATTCGACTCAAAAATTATCGACACTTGAGTTGGTTTATGTTTGGTTTATTTTAAGGGTTTGCCACAAGAAAGACATTTTAAATTTTTTTCTATCGTACTCCATATGTTCCATTTATATAGGCTGATTTTGTTTTTCACACAAAATAAGAAATCTTATTAGCGTTATTGGAAAATCATGTTTGCCAAAAACTTTTCTAGTTTACTATTATTTAATTATTAACAACTAGTAGCAAATTATTGTTGGAAGTGGTAAATAAATTTAATAATTTAATTTTCAAGAAATATGTATGTTTACTTTTGTACAATTTCAAGATTAAGTGGGAGAAAATTAGTTATAACTAAGCAAATTAAATAAAGATATCTTATTAAACGAACGAAATTAAACATTTTCAATAAAGAAATATAACTATATAATTGAGACAAGAAAATAAAAAAAGTCGGACTATATAAATAAGACGGATAGAGTATATTTTTATTCTGTCTAGTATTCATCGTGAAACACGTGCGTTCGTACTAACATTATTCACTTCAAAGAGGAGGAAAAGAAAAGAAAAAAAGTTTTGTCTTCATCATATGTCGGTAAATAATAGACCACTTATAGACCACTGTCTTTTATCTTTATTGCACGTTTGCACCAATACACATTTTTCTCTATTTCTATCTCACTCCATAACTTTTAGGGTGGACATTTTAATTGGAATTGAACCTCGCGAACTGAATAGGAGGTTCCATTCCGTCTCCCAAAAAAGTTAGAAATCAAAACTTAGAATCAATTGGGTCCCGAACGATTGTTGGTTCTTGAATTGGAACCGTGGTATCGACTATAGAACCAAATTTATCCCTTTTATAAGTTTTTATTTTTCAAAAATTTATACATGCTAACCCAATGAGTCAAACCTTGCAAGATTAAAATAGATGTAAATTCTAGCTTACACTTTATATGACATTCCCTCTATGTGGAGGAAATCTGTGCAGT